TATTTGTCTTTTCAGTGAACCAACTTTTAGCTTGGTAAAATATTTTATTCAGATTTTGTAAATATGTTCTTGGCATTCTCTAGATTGAGATATGTTATGAAAAAGGTGAAGATGGATTTATTTGTTCACTGAATTCTAAATCCTTGGGAGCTGAGGGGTACCCTTTGAAACTTGAAAAATATATTTTCCATAATAAAATGACGTGGAAGAGGTCATCCCCAAATGCTGTTGTTATCTAAAATTGGAGGTTTAAGAATACTTTGGATAAACTTATGTATGATAGATGTACCTGAATTAAGAAATCTAGTGATCCTTTGAGTGCCTGTTTTTTGATTTAAAAATAAAAAGGTCCTGCAAGCACAGAGCCGTTCGTGAGTTAGTAAAAAACTAAGTGGATTCTTGATTCTTGGTTCAGTCTATTTTATCTTCTTATGGTAAAACTTTTTATCTCTAACTTTCGAGGCTCTTTTCATTCACTTTCTTGCCCATATGCTGCATGCACTTTGTCCTTCTTAATTTGCTGTACCCATGAATAACTACTTTATCAGGTAAACTTTTCCCTGACTTTGTTTTACCTGTTTATTTAGATCTCAGAATGTTTACACCTTAAATATACTTAGAATGACTGACTCTTCCTAGAAAATAGACAGTTTACGTTTTTTCTCATTTGTACATTTATTACCTCCTTCCACGTATGTCTTTGAGTATATGGTGAAAGGTATAGGATGGATTGGTTACTATAGAGGGACAATATTTGTTGGTGAAGAGCAGTCTTATTCTTTGCACAATCATATACGGGCCAAATGTTTTTTGTACTTCTCTTCTTTAAACTTCTTGGACATTAGTGGTTTATTACTTAGCATTCTGTAACTTACCTCTGGTACATATAGTTAAATGTTTGATAAGTAGTTGGTAGTCTGACATGCTGAAATGGAAAAATTAGAAAATAGTATAGTAATTTTGAAGTTTAAAATTTATAATATTCCATCTTTTTCCTTTTAGTTGTCTCTTTTTAACCCCTACGTTTCAGCAATAGATATCAGACTTGTAATTAATAGCTCTATCAGCTATATATCTTCCAGTTAAAAAGGATGTGTAGCAGAGGTGTTGATAGTCAAAAATACTTTATGTTTAAATTTTTTTAAGATTTATTTATTTGAGAGAGAGAGAGTGTGCATGGAGCGGGGAGAGGGGCAGAGGGAGAGAGAGTCCTGAGTAGATGGTGCGCTGAGCGCAGAGCCCGATGCAGGGCTTGATCTCATGACCCTGAGATCATGACCTGACTGAAACCAAGAGTTGGATGCTTAAGTGACTGAGCCACCCAGGTGCCCCAATAGTTGAAAATATTTGTAAAAAATTTTTAAACAAATTATTACTGAATGCTTTTCAAAATTTGGAAGTTCTTGTTAGTCATTTGAAATGCATTATGGTTATTATTCTTTCTATACTTTGATTATTTTTTTAAGATCTCCAAGAGGTTTGTCTTATTCTCCTTGGGCTGTGAAAAAGATTAACCCTAGATGTAATGATCATTATCAAAGTATGTATCAAAAGAGACTAATAGATGAAGCTAAGATTTTGAAAAACCTCCAT